GTCCTTACTCTGCTGTTTTCCATCTTTCCTTTCCTCAGGATCCTGAACTCAATCAGCTCATGGTTGCTGCTGCCCAAGTTGCCATTCACTTACTACATTCCCCACCAGTTCTTCCCTGCTTGTGAGCAGAAAGTCAAAAAGAGCATGGCTTCTAACTGGCTGCTCCAGCACTTGCATCAGGAAGTTGTCCCCCGCACTCTCCAAAAACTTCCTGGATTGCCTGCCCACTACTGTATTGCCCTCCCAGCATATGTCAGGGTGATTGAAGTCCCTCATATGACCTAGGGCTTGTGACTGGGAAACTTCTGCTAGATGTTTGAAGACAGCCTCATCCACCACTTCTACCTGGCCTGATGGCCTATAGGAGAACCCCACCATGACATCACCCATGTTGCTTGGTCCTCTGACCCTAACCCAGAGACTCTCAACAGGCTTATCTCCAGTTTCATACTGGAGCTCTGAGAAGTCATATGACTCTTTTACATAAAATGCAACTCCTCCTCCTCTTCTCCCCTGCCTGTCCCTCCTGAACAGTTTATACCCATCCATGACAGTGGTCCAGTCATGAGAGCTATCCCACCAAGTCTCTTTTATTCCAATCATGTCATAGTTCCATGATTGTGCAAGGATGTCCAATTCTTCCTGATTGTTTCCCAGGCTCCATGCATTCATGTACAGGAATCTAAGATAATTAGTCAATTGCCCTGATTTCTCAGGAAGAATAGCAACACCTCCCATCTTGCCTCCTCCTGCTTGCTCTTCATTCAGGTCACTCACTTCCTCACTTACCTCAGAGCTTTGGTCTCCATCCCCCGGTGAACCTAGTTTAAAGCCCTCCTCATCAGGTTAGCAAGACTGTCTGCGAAGATGCTCTTTGCTCTCCTCATCAAGTGGATTCCATCTCTTCCCAGCAATCCTTCTTCATGGAACATCATCCTGTTGGCCAATGAAGGCAAACGCTGCTGGCAATACCACCTGCGCATTCAGGCACTGATCTGCAGGATGTGTCTGCTCCTGCTCAGGCCCTTTCTGGAGATCCTGGGGTCAAAAAACACCATGTGGAAAAAAAGCAGCAGAGCACACACAGTGGCAATGCACGCTATCCAAAACCAGAGCCTAGACAGCTGGAGCCATGCTCTGGTTCCTGGCCAGGCTCCCAGCAGCAGAAGTGCCATGGCTGTAGCTTCCCTGGCCCCCAGAACTGTAGGTAAGTCTGCTGTGGCCAGCACAATTGCTGGCCCCAGCCCCTCTTACCCCACCTGGGGTAATCTGCACTGTGCCAGAGGGCACATGGCATGGGCATTCCCCAGGAACAAGTAGCAGCAGCACAAGGTGTACCGCTGCTTCTTGTCCCTGGGGAAATAAATGCCCATGCTCATGTGGACAGGGCGTAAGAGACTTTGCCAAGGCAGAGGTCTGTCCAACTGTCCCTTGTTTCTCTAAGTCAGTGGTTTTCAATCTGTAGTCTGTAGACCCCTGGAGGTCTACAGGCTATGTCTAAGGGATCCGTAAAAGATGATGACAATCAATCAAAAGCATGTGAATACCCACACTTACAGTTAAACAGGGTCTGCATCTTCTTTTTTTAGTGGTCCACAAGTGCAAAAAAGGTTGAAAAGCAGTGGTCTCAGCTATAGAGACCCTTAGTCTGTCTTACCCTTGTGGAAGGCAAGGAAAGACTGAGGGAATTGGACTAATTTTGTCAAGAGAAGAGAAGACTGAGACAGGATTTAATACTAGTCTTCAACTACCTGAAGGAAGGTTCAAAAGAGGATGGAGCTAAACTGTCCACAGTGCTGGTTGCAGATGACAGAACAAGGAGCAATAGGCTCAGTTTGCAGCAAGGGAAGTTTAGGTTAGTTATTAGTATGATTTTTTTCTCACTAGGAGGGTAGTAAAACATTGGAACAGGTTACCCAGAGAGGTTGTGGACTCTATTCTTTTGAAGACCAGGTAGACAAAGCCTTGGCTAGGATGACCTAGTTGGGACTCATCTTGCTTTCACCAGGGGGTTGGACTAGATGACCTCCTGAGGTCTCTTCCAACCCTAATTTTCTGTGATGCTAGTCTGGGGACTTACACACAGCTGGAAGAGCTAGGCTTTGGAGCCTGGGTTAAGAAGAACCTTGTACCCCAGTGAGTCCTGGCCTGAGTGAGAAGGGTACCAATGTCCTATACAGACATAGCTAGTGCAATTCCAGATTCTCATCTCTACCTAAAACTTTCAATCCTTGCAATCTTCTGTGCCTTATGAACAGGGATCCTGGTTTTCTCTGATTTAAAAACAACCAATTTTCAGTTAAAAAAAACACACCCAAATCCACATTTTTTCCCTTATGTAAATGAAACATCACTATCTATCTACCTATCTACCTATCTATCTATCTACATATAGATATAGAACTATCTATATGTAGATATAGATATAGATATAAATGTAAATCTCTATATCTCTATATATAGATAGATCTATATAGATCTTAGACACAGGGGTAGTAGTAGACCTAGTCTTTTTGGACTTTAGGAAGGCCTTCGACACTGTCTTTCATCCCATTCTCATTAAAAACTAGGGTACTGTGGCGTCGACACGTACAGTCAAATGGGTCACTAACTGGCTGGAGGGCCTGCGCCCAGAGAGTGGTGGTGGACGGGTCATTTTCGACCTGGAGGGATGTGGGCAGTGGGGTTCCGCAGGGCTTGTTCCTCAGGCCCGCACTGTTCAACATCTTCATCAGTGACTTGGACAAGGGAGTAAAAAGCACCTTGTTCAAATTCGCAGATAACACTAAGATGTGGGGGGATGTGGGCATGTTAGAAGGGAGGAATAGGCTGCAGTTGGACCTAGACAGGTTACAGGGGTGGGCAGATGATAACAGGATGGGATTCAAGACTGACAAGTTCAGGGTACTGCACCTGGGGAGGATGAACCAGCACCATATCTACAGGCTAGGGAACTCCCTTCTCGTCAGTGCAGAGGCAGAAAAGGATCTTGGAGTCATTATCAATGCCAAAATGAACATGGGCCGACAGTGTGGGGACGTGGTTAGGAAGGGCAACCGTACCTTCTCATGCATCCACAGATGCATCTCAAGCAGGTCCAAGGAGGTGATCCTCCCCCTCTATGAGACGCTGGTCAGGCTGCATTTGGAGTACTGCGTCCAGT